AGGTGCCTGAGACGTAGAGCGTGCGGTGCGCGGTTGTGGGCGCGAAGCGGGCGTGGGGGTAGTTTGCTAGGCCTTGGGCCTTTTCGGCGGGTAGAAAATAGGGCGTTCCGTTGGACATTTGGGGTGAATTTTCAGATATGATGTTTGTGGAGAGATGATCGGGGAAAGAGACCGAGGTTACAGTTGGCTTATGTAGACTACGGAACCGGATCCGCCCCGGTCCCCCCGGGGCGGGAGGGTTAACTGGAAGCTTCCGCCCATTCCTGTTCCCACCCTGTCACCTCCAATAGGTAACTTACTTTCACTCTCTAACCTAGTAGAGTTTTGACACCCAATACCTTGCGCTAGGACAAGGTTGATATTCGAAGCATTTTAATAGTATATAGAAATTAGGAGGTTCAGCCATAAAAAAGAAAGCCCTGTTTACTATAGAATTAATGGGAAAAAATATACTCTTCATCTCCTCGCGGGTACCTTGGCGAGCCCCTTTTTTGCAGATGATATTCGTGGGGTAATTTCAGGAAAGGGTATGCTGGTTATCTGATACTTTACCGCTACTTCGCAGACAATTTTGGCAGTCTATCAGCTTTTGAATTAGGAAGGCTATAAGGGCCAATGGGAGTGAGATAACCAAGCGATATAAAACTTAGCTTTTTAGCGGTATTGTACGGCCGGCACATTTTTCTCCGTAAGTACGGAGTACCAAATGTAGATGGATGGTGGAAGTACCCGACGACGACACCAGCCCAGCCTCATTTATTGCGACACGTTCAAGAAAAATTCTAGCTGTGACGTATCTGTGTTAAGGAATTCCCGGCTGTACTGGGCCTGCTCAGTTGTCCTCAACAACTTGACGACACGTGATACCTACCTGGTCTTGAGCTCGTGCAACGCTATCAAGACTGCTCTGCAATCAAACTTACCTGGCTCCATGAAAATCTCGTAACTAATGATGTAGCTGTATTACTAATAATTTTTCGCACTATATTTCGTCAATTTTCCAGGTCTCCTTGGATCTCACGGATGTAGTCCTTGTGATTGAATGGGTTTAATCCTGCGCAGTAGTACTATAATAAGTAGGGCAAGTGCCATGTATTCACAGAAGATCAATAAGAATCTTAGAAGTGATTATTTAACCATGCCAAGAGTTACTTAAATAAGATCTTGAACTGAAGTAAACTGCTATTAATAGGTACCTAGATCAAGAACGAGATGAACGGAGCCACTGCTAGTAGCATGATAGAGTACATCATAGATGCCAAAAGATGTATGCTAGATATAGGCCAGGCAAAATAGCATCACACTAGATTGCTTAATACGTTCTTATTTGCACTTTCATATCACCATATAACTTGGCTAACAGTCATGCTTTCTCAAGTTCATGAACAATAGTCTCGCAAATGTAGGACTCACTGTAGTCCTTGTCCAACAGGGTCCAAGGTATCACATAGCTATATCCATGCCTTTTCTCAGCCATAAGCGAAAAAATAACTCGCATCCCCATGCTACTTCGTAGCTTTGATAGAATATTTCCTTTAGTCCGTGGGAGCTTGTGTCTTGCATATTCTAGAATAATAGCAGCAACTGCTGCAGCAATTGGCGTTGCAAATGATGTTCCAGACTTACGCTGTGTCTCGCCTTGACCCAAATGACGAGGCCACGACGATTCCACAGCCTCACCAACTATAGCAAAATTTTCAGAATTTTCCAGCGGTGTTGGAGTGAACCTTGATGGATTCCCTTGTCCATCTGTGGAGTTAATGCAGATAACTTCGGGCAAATTTGCAGGATAAGCTATTCCAAGATTACCCCCATTATTCGATGCTGCAGCAAACATGATGATACTTTTATGATATGCTTCATGTATAGCATTATAAATCTCGTCGCCTTGGTCATCATCTCGCTTAGGAAATCCAAAGGACATTGTGATGATATCAACATCCTTCTCGATTGCCCACCTGATGGCCTAGCATAATATTAGCATAGAGTCAAAGAGCCAGGAATAGTTATGTGTACATTAGCTATATTCTCCGGTTTGTCAAGGTGCTTATTTGCGACCACACGAGCCACGTAAATATCAGCTGTTGGAGCCACCCTGAGTAGTAGTCCAGCTGTATGGGTACCATGGCCAAAAAGATCTCCAGATTCATTCCCATCGTCTATCCAACTTTCTAGCCCCTTAATCCGCGTTTTATTGAGCCGTATGAAGGCATTTTTGAGGTCAATACCGGTATCAAGGATAGCGATTTTCACTTTCGGTGTTTCCAGGCAGTCATCAATCACCTGTGGCACACGTTCGTCAAGCCATTGAAACCATCTATCGGTCGATTTCGAGCTATTATTGTCAGTCTAAGTCATACAGGACCTTTTTTGCCGCTTACACTGTCAATAAGTCCCTCACAATTTCGTCATCAAAAAGTGTGAATGTGTTGGCGTTATCTCCCAAAATACCACAGAGAGCCTCGTTGATGAAGGATTTAGGCTGTTTTTGGTTGAATAATTTCCAAGGTATCAGATAATGGTACCCATTAACCTCCTCTGACACAAGTTGGAATGCTGCCTGCATTCCTTCACTAGTCTTTAGGCTTCGAACAACACTGTCCTTTGCCGCCATTGGTAAGTTTTGCCTTGCATAATCCAATATTGTGGCAGCGATCCCGGCTGCTATAGCAGTTGCAATCGAAGTTCCGTATTGACGATGTGTATTACGGAGGAGATAGCGTGAAGAGATGCATTGCACAGCTTCACCAAGTGTACCAAAATTATATCTGTGTTTCCTTGGTGGAGGGCTAAACCTGGATCGGTTCCCATCCCCATCTGTAGAGAATATACATATAACCTCTTTCAATATGGCTGGATATGCTATCCCATAGTTTGCTCCTTCATTTGCAGCCGGAGCAAATATGAGAATATCTCGCTGATATGCATGTTGAATAGCATGATAGACTTGATCTCTATCATTATCATCATCAGCAGAACTTCGTGTACCAACGGTCAGTAGGATAATATCAACATTCATCTGCACTGCGCATCGAATACCCTAAGAGCACCATTAGCTAATAGTGGGATCTCAGATTTTTAGGCGGATAGTACCTGAGCTATATGCTTCCAATCTGATGTTCCCCGACCATCCATGGCTTGGATTACATATATATTCGCGGCCGGGGCGACTTTCAGAAGCAGCCCGGCTATATTTGTACCATGACCATTCAAATCAATTCCCCCATTATCATTGTTATACAAGCTCTTCATGCCTTTAATGCGATCCTTTCTGGAGTGTATAAATTCATTTTGGAGGTCGACTCCTGTGTCAAGCATGGCGATCCTCACCCTATCCTCATCTTTCTGCTTATTCGAAATGTTGCGAACGATGGGATATACATGTGTTGCGAGTGATTCAAACCAGGCGTCAGCTGCACTGGAAACATAGTCTATTTCGGACCAAGCCTATTATTGTAAAGCAATTCAGTTAGCCCTTCGTGAGGATGGACGGAGAATTGGTGGCGCCACTCACAGCCATTTGGTCGGACTACATTAAGGAGACAAATGGTATACGATTCAAACCAAGAATACCCCACGTCAACACTCATACAAAGGCGTAAAACAGACAAGCTGAGCAAAAGACCTTAGAACGAGGATGGAGTGTCTGTCACTATATGCGTGCATAAGATACTTGGCTGACCCTGTAGTGATGGTTCAAAATCCCTCGTTCGTAACGACAATGAGCTACGTGGTCGAAATTATTGGCGGAATGACAAATATATTTGACTTTGGATGCGGTCGGTATGACCAGCTTAACCATAAGGAAAACGAGCGTCCTTGGCCTTGGTTCTAGACCTTCTACCTTCTGTGCAGTGGTGGCATGAGGGTATTCGCATATGGTTCAATGAGATCCGTGATAGGCCCCCGCGAAAACCGGGCAACCTGATTGGTACACCAAATTCGGGGAAACTTTTAACACATCCGATGGTCCCGACTTGCGCCAATAAGCCAGCAACCGAGTTGGCCACCCCTCGTATATAAAAAGAGCTATTCACGGCCATATATCTTAAATACTTGATGTACTGTTCAATTTAATACATGTAAAGTCTTGGATATATACAAGGAGAGAACATGCGTAGTTTAGGTACTCTGCCACACACAATGATCAATTCTCGCCCAAAAATAGCTCGGAAGCTAGTCTCCAGTGCGTAACGTTCCCTTGGGCATCAGTTGGAGTGTATTTTGTGACTTTATCCAACAGCCATCCCGGGGTAGGTTGTCATGCCACGATACTGTGATCATAAGTGGATCTGTTATTCAATGACGCAAGACTCTCGGCCTGCCGTCTAAAGGAGAAACCTTACTCTTGCATCTAATAAACGCCGCTTTTCCTAAGCAGAAACTTACAAACACTATAATCTTAAGTATATACGAGATTTATCGACAAATCGACTAGTTATGTAGTTAATAATGCTATAATAGGGTGTTTAATTAATCTAGGCAATGTTAACTGCTATTTGTCTGTATTGGCGTGCGGATATTGCCGCTTGATTGGAACTAAGTAGTCAAATACTAATAAGGTAGTGGTAGTCAATGCAATGCGCGGAAGGCGACTCGCTCATCGCTCAATTGCGTTGCAAAGCGAAGGCAACCTTATATCAATGACCACTACATATGTGATAACTGTCAAGTGCAGAAAAACGCGATTTGGGTCCTAGATGTATTAGCCTTTTCAAATTATACTGTGGGCAGCTTCTAACTTTGTGTGGTATAGTGTAGGGAATAGACTCAATACAAAAAGTGACGTGACTGATTATCAAGTTCTAGAGATAGAGTGCCATTCCCCAAATGACTTTCTCATTGTCGGAACATGTATGTGGCGAAAGATTAGAACGTCAGCTGCACAGTCTCCATAAATAGCATAAAGTGACTAGACTCTACAGTTTGCTTTTTGACTTCCTTTCAACCACTAGCTAGAAACACCCGACCACATAGTTCATCCCCTCACACCAAGGGATATGGCGAACTCCTTTGTGCCACTAGAGCCGACCACCTTTCTTCCAGCAGCCAAGGTGCCGAACCTCCTTGGACGCTTCTGTGTTTACCCACGGGAGCCAACGCGAAATTCCTTTCCGCTGAACCCTCAACCTTTCTACTGTCAGAATAACTTGCCTTATTGTGTCGAAGCCTCAGATCCCAGTATCATCCTTGAGAACATATCAGATCTCTCTATTCGAGCATCAATGGCAAAATTTCTCAAATTGAACTTCGATACGACCGCAAAAGCAAAAACTAAGTGGAAAGGTAGCAAAGTGCGAGTGTTCACTCTCCCTTCTGAAGACACCGTAATGGCAAACATGCTTGCAGATAAAAATTTACGAGACCTCGTGAATGGAAATTTGAAAGATGGCAATGGTCTTTACTTAGTTGTTGGCTTCATGGCATTTGTCAATGCAACGTTTGAGAGCCATAACAGACATGAAGTGAGTGCTAATCTGGAACTCAACCTGGGCAAGGCTATAGAGGCAGCTCTTAAGGCACATGGGGTCCCTTTGCAAGTACCAGATATTAATGCCTACATTGGTGAACACAATCGTGCACTCCATCAATGGCAAGCCACTTTTATCGATGAAACCATCGTTGCCGTCAAATATCGATACGTCACAAGGAAGAAATATCTCCTATGGAAGTGCCAGAAAGGCGAAGTCACGCTTCGTGATGTCAAGAGTGTTAAGGGAGCACGGATGTTTGGTGAGCCAGATGGTCAGTTTCAGACCATTTCATGACATCGGAAGGTTCTAACACATAAGAAGATGCGGAGGCGCAATTACTAGATCTGAAATGCTCGCTTAAATGGAACAAAAACCCTGACACATTGGAGGATGGGGATGAAATCTTAATAGCGCCTGTGGAGAAGATACCTTTTGATGGTGCGTCTTTCGAGCTGGACGGCAAAATTGACTATATGCATCAGTAAAACAAAAATAGCATGGGGATGCGAGTTATCTATAGCAGTTAAAATTGTACAGAGTAATTGAGCACCCTATTCAAGCATTATTTACTAGATAACTAATGGATCCGTGGAAAGATCTCGTATACTGCCTCTATTGGCATAGATTCTTTTCTAGAGTTTCTGGTTAGGAAAACGGTCCTTGTAATTATGTTAGTAACATAGGTTTAATTACCTTAGACTCATCATATAGAAAGATAGCCATCTCATTCAGGTATAAATGAGGGTTTTCAAGAAGATGGTCACAGAGAGCTTTGATCATAGTGGGTGTGAGACCCATGGGCGTCCTTCCTACTTGAGAGATGCCTTCGCACTGCTACAGAGGTTCATGCTAGTAACATGCCGAGTAATAGTGCTTGAGTTGCAGCCAACTTGCAGTTGAATGGGGTAATCTCCGTACTCAAGATCATATCTTCTATAAATTCTAGTTTCGATGGAGCTAGATTAGAACTCATTTGTGCTGTGGAGGATGGTTGACGCGATCCTCCAGAAGGATCTCAGATAGGTTCGCGGGAAATGACCACATGGCTGCTCAAACCATCCCATCGCCGTAAGGTTTCACTCCCAGCAGCAGTCCAAGGCGTTGTTGTCTCATGTCTGATTGATGTGCATGACTGCATATGCATGGTACCTGGTTCTGGCTGGCATTGATGATATAGCGAGGCAAATATGTTGGCAGTATTGCAGGAGGAACAGTGATGTCAAGTTAACAGCAAGTTGTCAGGTGAGTTCTTCTGTAATAATGCGACAATCAAAACGGCGGAAATATACCCTTGCATGCAATTTTACAGTTAAGTTACGATGCAAAACAGCAACCTGTAAAGCTGAGAGAGTAGTCAACAAGACTCCAGATAAATATTGTCATCATATCGATTTGTCTTTCTATGTATGTAATGGGCCAGTAGCTCTGAGATAAAACATATCCTGAGTTGCCCTTGCGTCCAGGTCTTGCGAATGTCACAAATCCGTATCCGCTGGTTTGCATCAATCCATGATTGAGCTGGCAGGCGCAAGGGAATCGAAACTGCATAGTGCCTGCCTGAGGGTGAAAGGTGAAAGTTAACTGCAGTCAAGCACCTCTTCTGGACTAATGAATTGCCGTCAATGCGGACTGTCTCGCGGGGGACGGAGCACGCACACCCCTACGACTACACCAGTTGGCACCCGTTTATGACAAGCTAGCCTCCAGTACCGTGAATGGCGAACGATCCTCGAGAGAATCATCCCGCCCGCTGATGAGCATCCATCGGGCCAACATGTGGTTTGGGGCTGGGCCTCTCAAACTCCAAGCGCATTTCCAGCGACAGGAAGCGGTCAGCGCTTGATCTGTATTAATCTGGGCACACATAGTTCCGCCTGATCAACCACGCCCTGCACCCGATGGGTGTGGGAGCCCGTGCAAATGATGTATGCGGTTGGAGGCCACGCCTCGGAAGAAACGACCTCTGTTAGATAATGAGCGTACTACGAGCGTCCGTAAGACCTCGTCTATACGCCTGGACAAGGCGATTCTGTTGGCAAGCGCTGATAATGATATGTATGACGGCGGGCCAGAGCGCTTCGCTCCCTTACTCGAATGCGACTAATGTGCAAACAAGATTGTGGCACTTGATAGAAAGCTCATACGGTTGATTGATTGTTGAATGCCAGACGGATAACATCGGTCTCTCTCCTGGCCGAGCGTGACCCGGCGCGACGTGGTCATGCAAACGATGATCCAGCCCAGAGAAGCAGGATGGAAGTGGACAAGTAGCTTGTGGTATGTCAATTTGGTATTCCTGGTGCAGCACATGCGACCTTTGATCTGGAATGGTCATCATGCTACAAGACGGTGCCTGTGCAAGACACCCTGAAAAGTGATGCTGGCGGATTTTGGCACCAGGGAGTGACGACCAACTTGTCATGGTGACTAGTGACGCCAACAGTGCTGGACCATGGCTTATGCACCCACGACTATGGACAGACAGACTTCAAGGGAGAAGGTGCTGCAGTCCGAGCGGACTTACATTGGCCGCGGTGGTCTCATTACTTGAAAACTCTTCTCCTTTGCCTTCGTCTGTTTGAACCGCTCGGTTGTACTGCGTTTCCAATTCAAAAATGTCTGTCGACTCGACTGGCCCTTGTCCGTGCTTTCATTTGAAGACTCTTGTAACGGCTCTGAATCATCACGACACCGGCCATAATACAAATCCGATTCACGGACTGAATAGTCGACGCCCGACTTGCTCGGCAACTGTAACAGCTCGTCGAAGGCGTCGCTTGAATGTTGCGACGAGCTGGAATCTGTCTGCGCCGACTGGGGTGGCTCGATGGCTGAACCGATCGAATCAGGGTCAATGTTCTCGTACTCATAAGGAGCGACTCTGCCATTGAGAGATCGCGGGGGTCTGTAAAACGCCGAAGCGTTCGGTGAATATGGCGCTGTGGCTCCTAGCAAAGTGGGAGAGTTCGGCATATCTGGACAATCTTCAAAGCCTCTGTAGATTCTGCGCGAAGAACCTGGACGGTAGCGATCGGAGATGCTGTCGAAAGAATTGACCTCTAGATGTTTCCCGTCTAGTTTCCGGCTTTTGCCGCTTGGGCTTGGGAGCTCGGCTAGGTTCAAATGCTGGATACAAGTAAGCTCGCTGAAATAGAAAAGGCACATTCGAAACTAACCGGAACTGGACTTGAACGCGCCCATCCATCGCAGGCAAACCTACGATCGGGTCCTTTAATGGCGAACCGTCCTATATGCCAAAGCGAGATGAACAAAAAGCCGAACACGACTACAGCACCATGAAGAACCAAGATGAAATAGCCTATCCATTGCCTTGTTATCTCGCGAGACGGGCACACAAAGGCAACACTCAGGATGAGCGTCAACAAGCGGACAGCAGTACACCAGGCACTTTTCGAAAGGATAACTTTCGTCCGTCGCTGAAGGGCGAGATGGGCGAGAATGGCCACTTCGCATCCGCCGAGCAGGAGTAGCTGTACCCAGCCCCAGAGCTGCAGACCACCGATGGCTAGACCCTGAATGAGTGGAAGACAGTAAAGAAGATAATGAGCCATATACTCCACGGACGTCTGAAACCGAGGGGAAGCCTTGGAAGTGTCGGGATCGGATCTCCTCGGCTTCCGTATCGTCTGATAGCGAGCGATGAAGAGGTTCGAGCCGACAAGGACCCCAATCATCAAGACCATCAGACAAATGCGGTAACTGGGCAGAGATCCGACGAAGACAAATGGATATGCCAGATACGCCAAGAGAGGGAGGCTGAAGAACAGAAGCGTGGCGCCCACGATGCTACGGCTTGCTTCTGGTATTTGCGCAAGGGCAGAGTCGAACGTTACGCCATGCCGCGACCCACACTCGATCAGCCATACCACCAGCACTATGATCACGATCGCAGATACGATAATGCACAGATTTATCAGAGCGTCGAACATGATATCCAACATGGAGGGAAATCCGAGATTCTGTGCCATGTACTCCAGTCCACAGGTACCGTTGGTCGCATAAATTCCGTCTTCTATCCCGGGATACGTGAAGCCGTGGTCGATGGGTCCGCTCCAAAATAACAGCGATGTCCACGCCAGTTGGCTGACGATAGGCTGGTAGAAACCCGGATATTCCGTCGTGAGGGAACCAGCCAGGAAGATGAACTGAAGGTACCGCACGTAGTCGGCCACATCGACTACAATCTTTCTTATTGAATCCTGAGGTGCGGTTGTGGTTCCGTGCTCGGGCACTGAGCGTCTTCTCTGCTGAGTGTGTCTGCACCACGAAGCTATGCCCACCAGGAGGATGATGGCGGCTGGAAGATAGGTAAAGGCTGCCGAGGCAGTAGTCCCAATGTCGGGAGTGATGCGGGCAGCCGCACAGCCAATATTAGTGCCATCAGGCAGACTAAATTCAAATTCCCCGGCAAGAGTATGAAGTGGATGGCCATATGCAAGGGAGTAAGTCAATTCCCATTGGGAGGCTTGTAGTGACTCCGGCCTGATGACAGTTCAGCAGAGGTTAGAGAGATTCAAGACCCTAAACTTACAGCCTCCAAAGAGCTGGAGGGGAATAACACTGCTTTTGAATCCGATCTAGATGGCCAACAGGGTAGCCGAGCACTCGGAAGCGCAAGTCATTCTCCTCTGTCAATTGAACGTCGGTACAGGTAACTTGTGATCCATTGTAGAAACCCAGCAGGGTTAACGACAATGTCCTTGCCTTTTCGGACGTATGAATGCTACCGTGTAGACTGTCAATGTGGAGATTGACGTCCAACGAACGATTCAAGACTGATGTCTCACACGGGACACGCCGTACAAAAGCACCTTCACACGGTAAGATCAAAACAAAAAGGAAGATCAGAAGCCCATGGAGAGGATATGACCAAGGCAGCATTCTGCTACATAGTCTTCTGTCTACTGAGAGACTGATCATACAAGATCCATGTTCATGAGATGGACTCTGGTTTCCCGTCGACATTCAAGCAGAGCGTTTTTCCCCTGAAGGCCGAAGTTTTTGCGGGTGGATACACCGGGATCGCCGCCATCTAAAATTATCCACCACTGGGGTTGGACGTTTCAACATCCTTGTGGCTGCTCTTGCAAAAGCCTATCCTTCTCTGGATCTTTTTATTGGCTCAGTTTCTTGATCTGCAACAATTTAGGTATCAAAGAAAGACAAGTTGCATAAACTGCATTTTATGCCACAGTAGGTGGTATCACATGATCTCGGTGTGAAGGGGCTAGAGACCTGACCTTCTGAGTCAGGTGATGAACCGGCTGCCTAAGGCTCCCAGGCTACAAAGCTCTAGCCCTATACATGCAATGACGCTGGTAGATATTAATTACAAACGGCCCTTCTACGATAGTCGCAGTAATGACCAGTAAAAGTAGTCAACTTACCACTTCGAGCTCAAGTATGGAGCACTCAACAGATTTCGGACAACTACAAGTCAGGCACCTCATTTGCACGCAACAGCATAACTGGAGAGGCTCGGTTTGCCATACCCCAATATAATGTACTCCTGGTATCCATCTTCTCCAACTCGACAATGTTGAGAACCTGAATCTCCGAGATTCCTTGACACATCGTCCCCAACCATGTTCTCCGTTGATTCCGAGATAATATCGTCATGCTTCTATCCGACCACATCAGTGACGATCCTCGCAACCTCTTACGTACAATCTCATGCGGGACGATCCTCCTTGGGCGTGGGATGCGGAGTATGGGGTATCCCAGACTGCATGATCAATCTTGACGACATCAGACGAGTACCTCAGCAGTAGCAGGGTAGCCAGAACGTCGGGCGCCAGAAGCTCGCATTATACAGGATTCGTTCGGGAAATGCAATGCCGGCCACATAGCACTATGCAGAAATCCAAAGCCTGGGATCCATACTTGCCCAATGTGAAGACAAATTTCCTGTCAGAGCTGAGGGAAAAATATGAGTAAAGCCCTCTCGGGTGATACTGGAGATGATCTGCGCCGATGATGAAGGTGGCAAGATATGGATCATAACTCTACCGAGCATATACCAACAGATCATTTAGTGGTTTGCTGATTTGTGAACCATTTCCATGAGCAGCAACCGACAAGCGAAACATCTCAGCAGTGGATGCGAGTCTGCATTTCGCAAAAGCAGTCCGAAGTTCTAGCCATCCCTCGACCATCTGATTCCCTTAAGGCATCGAATTCAAAGTCTTAAAATTTCTAGCATCCTGGCAAAAAGCGCACAGCATTAATAACAGTAATTCCCAAGTGATCCTCCCAAAGGAACTAAACCGAAGGAAGTAGATCGGACCAATGAGGATGCATGAAAAATACGGCTAGATTCGGTTGCGGCGGCACAGGGCGGAAGTGGAGCCATTCTTGTTACTCAATTGTTGAACAATCCTCAGTGATGATTGGATGTTGATTACTGTTAGTCACAAATAAGCTCCACAGCCGCAGGATCTGTACCTTAGCAGAGCTTGAATCGCTGCATGCAGATTAGGAAGTTCACCTAGACGATGACACTTTCCATGCCAGATTCAGAAACAGCAGCAGCCATGACACTCGGTCCATTACTGCCGATTGTGCTCCGGAATCTGGGGGCTCTGCATGTCTTCTGGAATTGTTTATCTCATTGTTTTCTAATGCAATTACCAATCGATTTTCTTAGTCAACTGATATCTCCGCGTTCTCCAGTCAACACCAACACCAATATCCATTGCCACGACCCACCTGGCTGACGTCCAGAAATTTTTTTTCACCTGCCACTCTTATCATCACATCCTCGTCCTCTCTTTCGTTTTGTCGACTCGTCAAATAGCTCGTCCTCCGTCCGTTGCTCGGTAGAGTTCGTTCTCGTCACTGTCCATCCCGGAGCACAAGAAGAAAGAAGACAATGATGTTGGAGGGCGTCCCCCCACCATCGGAACCCATCGAGGCCAAGCAGCAGGATCAAGAGAAGGCGATTGATGACGGTGCCGACTTGAAACCAATCGACAATACCCCTTACATCGATCCTTTCGGCGACGAGCAAAATGCTGAAGTCAAGTACAAGACCCTCAAGTGGTGGTATGTATTGCACGTCCCTGTCTGTCTAGGACAAGGGAATTGATCGCTGACGGAGAACGTGTGCAGGCAATGTGGAATGTGTAAGCTGCTGAACGGAAAACGGTCAAGTCGACGTGAATCTGACGCGTCTCCCTGATTAGTTATGATCGCTGAATCGGTTTCTCTCGGTGTACTCTCCTTGCCGGCAACTCTGAAAGCTCTCGGTTCGGTCCCGTAAGTGTGCGCTTGACGGCATCCGCGCTCGGCACTAATTGTCGCAGCGCGATCATCTTGATAGTCGGCCTCGGTATCCTGGCACTGTACACGGGCTATACCATTGGACAGTTCCGACAACGCTATACTCATATCCACAACCTTGCCGATGCGGGAGAAATCCTCATGGGTCGATTCGGTCGCGAGCTATTCGGTCTGGGCCAGATTCTGTTCTCAATCTTTATTATGGGCAGTCATATTGTCACCTTTACCGTCATGATGAACACAATTACGGACCACGGTACCTGCTCGATCGTCTTTAGTATCGTCGGCATGATCATCTGTATGGTGCTCTCGTTGCCTCGGACGATCAAGAACTTGACATATATCTCCTTTGCATGTGAGTGCCCTTTGGATTGTTCCCTGGAACTGACTACTGACAAACTCCAGCTTTCCTGAGTATTTTCTCCGCGGTGATGATCACCATGATTGGAGTCGCCGTCCAGTACAAGGGAGGAGCTAACATCAGTATTACCACTGAGACCAACATCTATCACGCCTTCAATGGTGTGACTAACATTGTCTTCGCATACTGTGCCCACGTGGCGTTCTTTGGTCTCATTGCTGAAATGGAGGACCCCAAAGAGTTTACAAAGTCCCTGTGCATGCTGCAGTTCTTCGAGATTGCACTCTACGTCACAGCGGCCATCGTCATCTATTACTACGTTGGAAACGACATTGTATCGCCGGCGCTGGGCTCTGCCGGTCCTTTGCTGAAGAAGGTTGCCTACGGTATTGCTATTCCTACTGTATGTCCAAATCCTATCTCATGCCCTCATGTGCGGACGCTCACAATATGATAGATTGTGGGAGCCGGTGTCGTCAATGGCCACGTTGGACTGAAATACATCTATGTCCGCATCTTCCGCAACTCTGGTCGCATGCACAAGCGCGATCTTCTCTCTGTTGGCTCATGGATTGCAATTGGATTGAGTTGCTGGATTATTGCCTGGATCATCGCCGAGGGTATTCCTTCTTTCACCAATATTGTCAGCTTGATTGTATGTCATAAACCTCGACCTCTTGGGATCAAAAGCTAACTGGACTCAGAGCTCTCTCTTCGCCAGTTGGTTCAGTTACGGTCTCCCTGGTGTGTACTGGTTGCACATCAACTGGGGTAGATGGTTTTCCTCTCCTCGGAAGATCTGCTTGACTATCATCAACATGTTGATTGTCTGTATCGGTGCCACCATGGTAAGTTTTCTTTCTTTGGGTTCTAATTTAAGAAGAGGCTAATCAAAGGCAGTGTGGCCTGGGATTGTACGTCTCCGGCAAGGCTATCCATGACGACTCCTCCAACTCTAGCTTTACTTGCGCCAATACTGCGAACTAAGGCATGTGCACGACACGGCATTTGGTTTTGGGTTAATGTTTGAAGCGTATGATGACTACACGAGAATTATACTAGATCATGGCGTCTACGGATTCATTGATGGGGGGAAGTTTAGACTTGGGTTTGTATATAGACTTTCTTTGAATATACATGATATGCATTATGTCTTGCCATTTCCCATCATTTGATAGCAGAATTCTCAGGACAGTTAGATATCGTTCAAGTATTCTCATACCGTTGGCATGTACCAGATATATATTTGGCGAACAGTGACAGGACAGTCGATTGAGGGCCAAGCGCAGGACTAGGGCTTCAGAGCCCAATACTTTACCAATCTTATGAAATTATGTTTGGAAATTAAGCAAAATATATTAGCAAAAACTAAATTAACAAGTTATGTTGGGAAAAAAAAGAAAGTGAATTGACAAGAGTGGGATTCGAACCCACGCCATCATACGATGATGAGGAAACTCTAAGAGTTTAGTATCAAGGTGGACCTTAACCTCACGCCTTAGACCAACTCGGCCATCTTGCCTTACGATAGGAAATCTGTCCATTTATTGCTTTATGAGCTAACTTCGAATCGGTTAGATCAGCGACTCAAAGATTCAACATACGAATAATATGATTTTCATGTAGCTGGACGACCTAAATCTATAATATGAGATACATTAAAGAAGTCAATGCCACGACTGGTGGCTAGATCTTCTGCCCCTGTTTCGAAAAGGCTTTGTTCTCACCTGGTTCCTGGGCTGAAGGTTGAGTCTACAGGCCAGTGAGGCAGAATATATCCTACAAGGTTGCCTTCGAGGATGATCCACTTCCAGAGAAATACGAGCTCGGCCACCGCAGCAAGCAGTGATGCAAGGAAGTATCTGGGTTTAGAAAAGACGAATTGTGTCTAGGGATCAGTAAGGTCAAATTGAGCATGCGGCCTCATTACCGACGCTACACAGTAGTCCCCTCCTTACCTCTGCCGTCAGCCCATCAAATCAATTCATAGACTCCATGATCTGCAAATTAATTGATCAACATTGACGATGCGGCACGACATCCTCGGCAGATCGCAAAAAGTTCTGCGAAACTCTCAACATGAACCTTAATCCCCGCAAACCCCGCATGCAGAGCTCCTAATTCCGAGTTCTGCTTAGGGTATCTTCCAAGGATAGTTCTCCCCGATGATAAAGTCATAACTGCGTACGCGTCCACCATCCGAGGTATTTACAAAGCTGTGAATTGTGGATTGCCGGTGACTCGTGCGGGGTGCTGATTCTTGATATAAATTTTCTGGTATGGTAGTTTGTAGTGAGCCAAGAGACACTTAATTCAACATTTTCAATTGTAAAGATGGCTCCAGATAAAAGACATGTAGGAAACCAGGACTTTACCCGCTCGACGGCAGTCATCATCGGAGCTGGCATCTCGGGTGTGTACGACGCTTTTCTAGCCAGTTCAAGTACAGGCTGTTGACAACGAGACCAGGATTATGCACAGCAATCGACCTCATAAAGCGAAACAAATGCCACAATTTCATCATCCTGGAGAAGAGTAGCGGGGTCGGAGGGACGTGGAATGATAACCGGTACCCCGGCTCATGCTGCGACGTCTGGGCTTCCCTGTACAGTTACTCGTTTGAACAGAAGCCCGACTGGACCAGGGAATATCCAGGCCAAGAGGAGATCCTGGTACTGCCGTCATATGATAAATCAGGTCCACAGCTGACCGAGACAGGATTATCTGATTGGCGTCGCTCAAAAGTACGGCCTGTACAAGCATATCCGGTTCAACTCGGCTGTGGAGGAGGCACGATGGGATGACGCCGACCTCAAATGGAAGGTCAGGGTCAATGTCTCCGGAGGCAAGGATAGCCAGTACCTCGAGTCATACGAAATTACGACCGACTTTCTCGTCTCCGCTGTCGGGCAGCTGAACGTCCCCCGCATGCCTGATATCCCCGGACTGGAAGACTATAAGGGCAAGCTGATGCATTCTGCCCGGTGGGATTGGAGCTACGACTGGACGGGAAAGAGAATCGCCGTTATTGGAAATGGTAAGTCGCACCACATATCGTTCAATGCGATACGAAGTAATAGTGAATAGGGGCAACCGCCGCCCAGATCATCCCCGAAATCGCCAAAACGGCGTCGCACGTCTCCGTCTACCAGCGTACCCCGAACTGGATCATGCCGAGACTTGACAGGCCCGTGGGTGCGGTACAAAAGGCTCTACTGACATATATCCCGCCCATCAAGTGGCGAAAGCGCGCGCTCATGATGGACTTCCGGGAATGGTTCTTCGGTGCGGTCGTTGATGGGAATTCGGCGCTCTCGGATGAAATCCGCAAGACGTGCCTTGATACCATGCGGGCGCAGTTGCCCGATAGGCCAGATTTGTGGGAGGCACTGACGCCGAATTACTCTCCGGGATGTAAACGGGTGCTTCTCTCGGATGATTATTATCCTACACTGAGCAAGGAGAATGTAGCCCTGGAGACTCGTCCTATCCAGCGGATTACGGAAACGGGGATTGAGACTGCTGATGGCGAGGTGAAGGAGTTTGACCTCATTGTTGCAGCGACGGGATTCAGAACGGTCGAGTTCATGTATCCCATCCAGATCAAGGGGGCGAATGGTCGGTCGCTATCGGATATCTGGAAAGAGGGGGCGATGGCGTACCACGGCGTGACGGTGGAGGATCTGCCTAATTTCGCCATGCTATATGGGCCAAACACTAATCTGGGTGAGTAACTCACTTTCAATAATGGAGACATGCTGACGGCTCAGGCCATAACTCGATTATCCTGATGATCGAGGCTCAATCGAGGTACATCAGCGCACTCGTGAGCCAGATACTCCAGGCGCAGAGGGACGGTCAGAGGCTATCTCTGCGGCCTAAGCCGGAAGCTGTGAAAAAGTTCAACGATGATATCCAGGCAGCCCTGAGAGAAACCAGTTTTGCCGACCCTGACTGCAGCAGCTGGTACAAGACCGAAGATGGACGCATCACCAATAACTGGCACAGCACGGTCGTTGACTACCAGAACGAACTCTCCAGCGTCCGGTGGAATGATTATATTGCCGAAGGAACCGGCAAGTCTTTGATTGCAAAGAAGAAAGAAACGAATATTGGACGGGTGAATGAGAGGACGTTGATCAGTAACACCTCGCTTCTCTGGGGTACGGTCAGTGTTGCTGTGGCATTGGGAGGATACTATCTCAGAGGGAATGCTTTGGTCAGAGGAAGCCGAGTGAGATGAGCGGAGTATATGGTAGTACAGTGGGACCATCATGGTTGGACTTGTGCAAGACTCCGCAGTTCTGCTTGGCATTCCTGGTCTTTGCTCGGGATCTGCAGATAAACAGCATACACCGAGAGACACCATGTCAGACAAGGCGCGTCACTAATCACGATTACTGTATCTATGCAGGTCAGATCCATATTGCTGACTGCTTCTCTTACATTAATTGCGATAATCGTATGATCTTGAACCGCATACAGATCCCGAGGAAGATGATACGCAGTCCCATTGTGTTACTTGAGTGCAATATGCAAAGACCGACGAGTTGTGGTCCGAATGGACTGATGTGATCATGCAGCTTCAAGTACAACGTATTTGATGTCCAATTAACACATATATAAAGGTCCCGAGACTTGACTCTCTGTCCTCTTCATATCAGCCCACAAGACCGAAGAACGAATACCAAGTCAGACTCATATATTCTCGCACCATGGCACCCATCTTGAAGAAGTACAAGGCCGCAGCAGTCAACGCTGAGCCTGGCTGGTTCGACCTCGAGGAATCTGTCCGCCGTACCATCCATTGGATTGACGAAGCCGGCAAAGCTGGCTGCAAATTCATCGCCTTCCCTGAACTATGTAAGTAACCTCTTGGTATTCCTCAGCTGTGTTGACTACTGACTCTGCAGGGATCCCTGGATACCCCTATTGGGCCTGGAAGGTCAACTACCAGGAAAGCCTGCCTCTCCTAAAGAAGTACAAGGAGAACAGCCTTCCCTCCGACTCGGAGGAGATGCACCGCATCCGCAACGCCGCCCGCGCCAACAAGATCTATGTCTCCCTGGGCTACTCCGAGGTCGACCTTGCAAGTCTGTACACGACACAGGTCCTGATCTCTCCCACCGGCGATATCCTCAACCACCGCCGCAAGATCCGGGCCACCCACGTCGAGCGCTTGGTCTTTGGCGACGGCACGGGCGACACGACCGAGTCGGTGACGCAGACGGAGATCGGCCGTGTGGGCCACCTGAATTGCTGGGAGAACATGAACCCGTTCATGAAGGCGTATGCGGCCTCGCTGGGCGAACAGGTGCATGTCGCCGCCTGGCCCCTCTACCCGGGCAAGGAGACGCTCAAGTACCCGGACCCATTTACCAATGTGGCTGAGGCGAATGCGGACGTAAGCAATTTGTCACTCTGGGCATCTTCCGTTCTGAACTAATAGCTGGCTAGCTGGTCACGCCCGCGTATGCCATCGAAACGGGCACTTTCACCCTGGCTCCATGGCAGACCATCACCGCCGAGGGAATCAAGCTCAACACGCCCCCGGGCAAGGAGCTGGAGGACCCTCATATCTACAACGGTCATGGTCGGATCTTTGGTCCAGACGGACAGAATCTTGTTGCGCACCCGGACAAGGATTTTCAAGGCCTTCTTTTTGTTGACGTAAGCACAGCAGTCCGTGGTGTATGTGTAAAAACTAAATGTTTCATAGATTGATCTGGACGAATGCCACCTCCCCAAGGCCCTCGCTGATTTTGTAAGTCGGACACTGCATAATTGAGCGAAGCTAATGCATCCCAGGGAGGCCACTACATGCGTCCGGACCTCATCCGCCTGTTGGTTGACACCAACCGCAAGGACCTGATCGTTCATGAAGATCGTGTGAACGGGGGAGTTGCCTATACCCGTACGGTGGACCGGGTTGGACTGTCGACGCCTTTGGAGGCCGTGAGCCAGGAGGCTGAGAATGAGAAGTGAGACATGGCTGCCTTTTGACACTCTCCTCTCTGTTTTCTTATTCTCTGCTTGTACTTTTTATTAGTTGTCAATGGTAATGAGACTGGAATTGGAAGTCTGCATGTTCTGCTTCCGATAAGCGGGGATTATAGTTGCAGATTCTGAATGAATATTAGAAAATAATCTGATCGAAATTCAATAAGACGATGATTTCCAATTCTCCACAAATCATACGATTCTAACTTATCAATGTTATATGGAGTTCCGCTCGGTGTCTGCTCTCGGGGATTGCACACGGGATCTCTTCAAATTCTGCCACGAGCAAACACCACAGCAATTTTCAAACGGCATCTGCTCCCATTCTGTAATGATCATCGTGAGCCACCATGACCACCCCCGTACGCCGAACATCTCGCCGTCCACCTGTCAAGGTTGCCTGTCTGGCCTGGTAATCCATCTAACCACCGAAATAGAGCCGCAGCTGATGACTGATACAGTCGCGCATCACGGATCCGATGTGACGGGCAGGAAAAATGTGCGAATTGCATTTCCCGGGAGAGAGCATGCTGCTATGTTCCCAGCAAGCGGGGGGGAGCGAGAATTCCTCGCAACAAGAGCAAGAGCAAGAGCAGACCATCGTCCCCGTCGACTGTACAAACTGTAGATGAGAATGGTGAAAGTCGGCAGGTGTCAACACCTAGTGCAGAGGAATCGTGGAATTCGAACAATGAGGATGGTACACTGGCCGCATCAAACCTTGGTTTCTAAAATTACTAACGGATCAGACATTCTCGATCACTTGATGAGTCTAGGGCGACCGGGTGCTGGACTACGCAGCGTCGAAAGCTCGGTGGCCGAGATGGAACACATCTTTGACCGTCTCTTCGGGGTTGAGAATGGGAATCCGCTTCTATCTGAAAGCGACGAGTCCATTGCAGAACTATTGCAGACATATGGCAGCGATGAGGACATGTACGCCACCTGAAAATCCGTCGCGACAGACAGCCTACTGACGAGTCAGACTCGATGCCTACTACGTCTTCATCCATCTCTACTACCCTATCCTCCCTTCTCCGGAACGACTCCCGGCCTACAATCGTCCACTAAATGAACATTCGACATTCCGACCGTCCAGTCCGCTGAGCTTGGCCATATCTGCCATCCTCGTTCTCATCCCGCACCCCGGGATCAAGCAACCGTGGACGCCAGAGTACACGCGGCTTCGAAGAAACGTGGCCCATAGTTTTGCGCAGTCTGCTCTAGAGGCGGTAGAGGCTGATCTGGAGTTACTAGACTCCTCGTCTGAACCGTCCAGAGCACTAAGTGACGGAGCCCCGATGATCGCCCGGCAGCCATTCCATCCGAAAGTGCCCGTCCCAATCGAGGCTGTTCTGGCACTTGTATTACTAAGTGTTTATGAATACGCCCAGCGTGGGAATATCAGAAAGATGTGCAACCGGGCGGGACAGGCCCTGACAGCTGCGATGAGCATGTCGTTGCATGAGATGGTCGAGGACGACGAGTACGCCGAAGCGCGCAGGAGAGCGTGGTGGATTACTGTTTGTGTTTGTTCTCGAAGTACATGACTCTGGCTAACGATTGTAGTATTTGACTGTCTGTCAAGGCTCGATAGCCAGCGGGATGGTACGTTATCCTAGATTCTTCCGCGGACCTTGGTCTGATCTTTATAGCCGGCTGCTTTCAACTTGTACGACCCACGCTTTGTGACGCCGTATCCCGAGGTGGGAACCTCTTCCAGATCATCTATTATATGATAAAAATTGGTTAACCCTTGATTGATGGCAGGGATGGAGACTCCTCATTGAGGCGCAGCAAACCATACTGGAGGCCACCACGTTTGTCCACGATCTCGACCAGACCGTCAAATCTCGGTTCAAAGCCTCTTGGATCTCGAGTCGAATGACAGAACTAGACCATCAAATCGTGGCCCTTCTTCTTCTTTGCAGGCGGTGCTCCTTATCCACGATTATCTCTCCCTTGGACTCACCGGAAAAGATTGCCTCTCGGACAATCAACCAGATCGCGGAGATCAAGCTACACAGGTACGCCACTCGACTTGCAATTATTCTGTTGCTGACCATTCCAGCGCTCGCATCAAAGTCCACCGATTCTGCGCCTTCTCGGACGTCCCCATCTTCCGCAAACGCCACTGTGATCTCCAACCCGAATGCTGTGGCGCCGAGTCTGAGGAATCCGCCATCCCCTCGCCCCCGGAAGATATCCCCCTCCCGTCAATCATGAAAACTGACCTCCCCGATCTCACGTTTCCGTTCTCCTCGCATGCATCATCCAAGATATGTCTCCAGTCTGCCCTGAACATCGTCACCCTGGTCGATAACCTCCCCTACCCGAATCCGGACCATACTATCCCCTTGACCCTGCCTCCGTATCTGTCAGATGACTCCCGCGTAGAAATCCCCCGAGCGATGCCAACCTTCGCCTGCTGCATAATGCAGGCGAGCTACGCGATGCTGATGCTGTATCTCAAGGCGCGGGCAAAACATGCCAAGAGTCCCGAGGACTCCGTGTCCGCCAAGGGCCAGTCGCTCAGGGGGTTTTTGAACGAATTGCAGCAGAATCTCCGGCTTGTGTCGAAGATTCTGGCGAATTATGCGATTGCTGCGGAGGCGTTGCAGGGAATGAAGGGTGAGTTCCTTTCGTTATCGTTTTCTGCTGTATTGATTGCTGACCAGATTAGAGGAGGTATCGCATTGGGCTTTCTTGGAGGGTTGATCGGGGATCTATAATAGTATTTTTATAATATCCGTGAATCTTCTCTCAACTTGTAGACACACCCTGAAATCCCCCTCAGTCTTGATCTTCCATGAGATGTTAAGAGCCAGTGATCTCTTGCTAGCCTCCTCGTAGTGATTGGCCATTCACCCTTACTGTTTAGGTATACTCTAGATCTGAATAGAAACACAGGTAGGCTAGTGGCTAATAACAGTGAATTCTGAGCTCGTTGACCTTGAGATGAAATTCGAATTAAATCTCCGAGTGACTGTCTAGATCCTGTATAAATATAGGCATGACTCTAGATGATCCAATCAACAGCACATTGATAGACGTCTCAGAGGTTATCATCACGACAAACGCTGTATTGAAGATAGACCGTATCAATCCTACTCAGGTTAGTAAATAAACTATAATAGCATATGAATAGGCATTATACCATCGCCCCTTCTTATGTCCCACATTCTTCAGTCGTCCTCTCTCCACAAACCCGCGCTGTTCATACCACTTTCGCAAACCCTCACCATTTTCCTTCCCGGTAGTGTCAACCGACATACAGGCAATGATACTACGCACTCGACCTTCGTCCTCTGGAATTACCTGGACATGCGTTTCGTAGCCCTGGTGTTCGCGCGCGCGGTGCCAAACCCCCGCTTCTGACTCGACAGACTCCAGAATGGACGAGAGGAGACGGCCCCCAACGCCTTTGGATGTATATTCTGGGTGAACGTACAGGGATACCTCGACACTCGGCGCGTAGGCCATGCGTGTGCCATTGAACGGAGCGAGATAACCATACCCTAGGACTTTGCCGGTTGTGTCGACTGCAACGCGATAGGGTAATCCGCGGGACTGGATGTCTCGGAAAGAGGAGATAAGGGATTCCAGGGGAGGGGGATGTCGGAGGAATGTGGCGACTGACTCGCGCACGTAGAAGCTGTAGATGGCATGGATTTGAGAGATGTCATCCTGAGTGGCTTCTCTGATTTGGATGGACATTGTCATTGTGCTTTCTTGATGTTGGGATGGAAAAAGAAACATGGTGCTACAGATTAGACTTTGGGCGCTGATGTGAGTCATTGGCTGCAGGCTGTCGGGGTGTTGTTTCGTTAGCTTAATTATGGTTGTTTCCATCAGATACGATCTTATTAAGAGTCTTGGCTGCAGTCCACTTCGTGTCCTCTGTTTAGTTGGATAGCATTGTATGGGTCGTCTTGGGTTAAATATGTACTCATATACACCAAATTCTAGCCGCATATTGCATGTATCCGCCTATTATACATCCCGCCTGATTCCCCCCAACACTCCCAACCCGTCCCAGCTATATTCGCTCAAGACCTCTATTTCTCGCTCGTATCCTGAGAAGCTCCAGCTGTGGATCTCTCGATCGGTGCTTCCGTGGCGGATGTCGTATAGTCTCCCAGGCCAAGACCAGGTGATTTGTAGTCATAGTCGTACCACCAGCCGATATCATTGATGCCGCAGGCATAGTATTCTTTTCTCATGGGTTTGTTTTTATTGTTTCTGTTGTTGAGCTGTCTGGTCCCACGGACGCCGTAGTTGGTAGATGCTTGGGCGTCGTAGGTGCCATATGTACTGTCGCTGTTTATGGGTTCGCTCATCTTGAGTTCAGAGATTCAATCCACTTGACTTAATACAGTTTTTGATATATTTAGTGAGTAATTGAAAAAACATATGGTCCTTGAAGCGCATTTTATGTGTGGCAGTGGCAATAGATGGATGATACACGCCTGATGTCACCACTGCTGAATGCATCTGTGTTTGACAACATCAACTCAGAGTTTATTTTGATTAAAGGTGTCATCTATTTATTATGATTATTTCTAAATATGAAACAGGACAGTGGACCTAGTGAATGAGTTTAATGAGAGGTTGTTTTTATCTGATGTACGTTATGCTAAAGGTGTGGCATATAAACAGCGCCCAGTATATATATATTCAGCGGCCATAAGGTTGCAGTTGTCCATACCATCTTCACATACAATCAATTACAGCTTCAATATACAATATTCAATAACGATAGCTATAGTTTAGTACATTGCTGTAACCTTCGATGCACAGTCACTGACATATATCAGACGCTGGCCTGGCTTGTATTGACCACTGTCAATTCTTCCAGCAGCACTTCAAAGCTTGTGAACTATCAATCTATGGCTCATGTTATCATTACAACCGGAATGGGTAATCATTTGCCCTTGATTCTAGAATAGTTCACTATTCGAGCTGATCAGCCCAAGCCGGCCAAGGAGTGGACCATGTGCTGGGAACGTCCAACGATCGACAGAGGCTCACATAGTCAGAACTTTGAATAATAACAACAAACAATAGCTACAGGATGACGGCTGATCCCTTCCGCTGCGTATGTAGTCTAGGATATTTGTTTGTATGCAAGGGGGAGAATGTAGGGGGCTTGCCGGCGCTGCTCGCAATAACTTCTTGATTGACCGACTGTTTTCAGTCATTGCCACGGAAACGGGAATATGGGTCATATGTTTGAATTGTATCATAAAAAGATGGATCAGCTTGATCAGAGTGTGTTGGTTGTGTCTTGTTTCTGTCTTCGATTCATTCATACACGACAAAATGATATGGTATCAATCAGCTTCCTTGCTGGGAGTGGCTGCGATCGCGCATGCAGCCAAGGTGCACTATTCCCTCGACTTGACATGGGAAACCGGCAGTCCCAATGGTGTCAGCCGGGAGATGATCTTTGTCAATGGTCAGTTTCCCGGTCCCTCGATCATTCTTGACGAGGGCGACGAGGCGATTGTAAGTTTATGGCAGCAGTGCAGCATATAGAGATGGCCATACTGATTTGGTAGATTGATGTCACCAACCACCTGCCATTCAATACATCCATTCACTTTCACGGCATCGAGTAAGTACTTTACTATCAGGGGATGACTCTTCTGACGTGATATAGACAGAAAGATACCCCGTGGGCTGACGGAGTTACTGGCCTCTCGCAATGGGCTATTCAACCGGGCCAATCGTACACCTACGAATGGCGAGCAGATACTTATGGGACTTATTGGTGAGTGTGTTTCTCCAAGGGATATCTTAAAAGCTAACGTCTCAGGTACCATGCTCATGATAAGGCTGAAATTATGGACGGACTATACGGACCGATTCGTATCAGGTGAGATCTCAACGTAAGGCAAGACAAGACTCATATTAACGAAGAGATAGACCTTCACCTAACAGAGATTCCCCATTTTCAATGATCTCCAATGATCCGGCCGATATTCAGGCCATGAAGCAAGCCGAGCGCTATGGCAACCTTGTCACGCTGTCAGACTGGGATCATCTGACCGGCAGAGAGTACATGAAGGCAATGGAAGAGACCGGCTACGATATCTTGTGCGTCTGACAGGACCTTTTCCCACTGGACGTGAACTGACCATATCAGCTGCGCCGATAGCGTTCTCATCAACGGCCGCGGCTCGGTGTTTTGCCAGGACCCCAAGGAGATGACCCAAATGGTCCCGCCGCCGGAATTGGCCATCCTCAACGCCTCGCTGACCGACAAGGGGTGAGTCAATCCATGTACATCACAGAACCGAGATAATGCTGACTGAAAAGATGTCTGCCATTCGTGCTTCCCATCCAAGGCGACTGGGAACATCACCCTGAGAAGCTCCCACCCGGCCTGAATGACGGCTGTCACCCCAGCACCACCCAGGAGACAATCTTCACAGTGGATGCCAGGCACCGATGGGCAAGCTTCCACTTCATCAGTGCAGCCAGTCTCAAGGTGCTGGTCGTTTCCATCGACGAACACCCCATGTATGTGTATGAGGTTGACGGCCGGTACATCGAGCCGCAGCTGGCGCACAGTATGAAGCTATACAACGGCGAGCGGTACTCGGTCATGGTCAAGCTGGACAAGGAACCGGCCAACTACAAGATGCGCGTGGCCAACGACGGCGGCAACCAGATCGTCTCCGGGTTCGCGACGGTCACCTACGAGGGCGGCCAAACCAGCCAGCGCCCATCGCAGCCGTACATCGACTACGGAAGCCGTAACATCAGCGCCGAGGTCATCCCGCTGGACACGAATAATCTGCCTCCGTACCCGGCCATCAGTCCTGCCTCCGAGCCCGATGACTTTCACATTCTGATGCTAGGACGCACCAACTCCTCCTGGCAGTGGTCTCTGGACGGAGCAGCCTTCCTGCCTAACCACCTCAGTGAATTGTCGCCAGCGATTCTGGACCCTGAAGCTCCCGAGCTGGCGAACGCGCTCAAGATCACCACTCGCAACGATACTTGGGTCGATATTGTCTTCCAGCTGGTGGTCGGCAAGACTACCCCAATCCAGCCTCCTCACCCTCTGCACAAGCATTCCAACAAAGCCTTCCTCTTGGGGACGGGCCACGGCAAGTTCAACTGGACATCGATAAAAGAAGCCAAGGAGGCGAGCCCGCAGAGCTTCTTGAAGACTCCTATCTACAGAGATACGTTTACTACCTCGCCGCAGGGAGAGACGTGGACTGCTATCCGGTACCATGTCGAAAATCCGGGTCCGTTCCTCTTGCACTGCCATATGACAACTCATCTGGCCTCGGGGATGGGACTAATTCTGATGGACGGGGTGGATGTTTGGCCTGAAGTGCATGCGAACATGATTACTCCTATGTGACTGTAGGAGCGGACACCCTCATGAATCTTCAGTACATAGGATTCATCGCATAACCATTTAATATTTGTTTATCTTTTACGTCATGTTTAGAGTCTGGGAATGTAGGTGAACCCAGGATTGACTCTCGGATAGATATAGAGTGGGGAATATTATTGTCCTTGATCTCATACCGATCAGGGCATTCCGCGGGCATCAAGGAACAATTAACAGGGGAATTGGGCTCGTCTTATCCCTTCTTTCCACCTCTCTTCCTCCTACGTTGAAGGATCTTGAATCATTGACATCCAAAGTCTCCCAACGATTACTACATTCGGATGTCCTGGCCCCTTGCATTCCTCGCCTATCCCCCCTTGCCTCACACTACTCCGATGTCAGTGCTAGCTCATAGTTGTTATTGTTTACAATTCCCGCATTCATTGGCCCGTGAATGAGTTTATTTAGCTTCGCTATACCGTCTCGATGGGTTCAGAAGAGTATCTTTCCTCCAACAACCGGCCACCGACATAGGCCAGCGACACACTATGCTCCATTCAAGGGCTTTCCTTCTCTCCTGGCTCGTGGGCTTCACCGCGGCCAAGGATATCCATCTCGATTGGAACATCACCTGGGTGTGGGCAGCGCCCGATGGCTTTGGCCGTCCCATGATCGGGATTAACGACGAGTGGCCATGTCCGATTGTCAATGCTGACCTGGGCGATCGACTCATTGTCGATGTGCACAATGGTCTGGGGAATCAGTCCACAGGAATCCATTGGCATGGCTTCCATCAATACATGACCGGAACGATGGATGGCTCGAACCAGGTGACGCAGTGTGCGTTGCCTCCGGGGAACAGCATGCGCTATGAATTCAATGTAAGTTCTCGACTCGCCATGAAGATTATACTGTTTATACTCACGGCACAGGTCAATCAAACCGGTACTTACTGGTATCACTCGCACGAAATGGGCCAGTATCCCGACGGACTCCGGGGTCCGTTCATTGTCCGGGATCCCTCGCCTCCAGTTGCATACGACGACGAGTTTACCCTCACGCTGACCGACCATTACCACGAACAAATGCCCGTTCTGCTGCAGCAGTACGAGGCTGACAGCGTAGGCGCTCAGGCTGGTGTGAATGAACCCTTGCCAGCGGCAGCATTGATCAACGAGGGATTCAACTCCACCACTCTCCGTGTGGAGCCCAACAAGACGTACCTCATCCATTTGATCTGTGTTGGCAACTGGCCCGGCCACGTTATTGTGTTTGATGACCACGAAATCAGTGTCGTTGAGGTGGACGGCGTCTGGGTGGACACCTATCCGGTGGGAGACAAGAAGATTCGCCTGGCCACGGGCCAACGCATGAGCATTCTTCTCAAGACAAAGGACAACGCCAACGCCAACTATGCCATCTGGGACTCGATGGACGTCAACATGATGTTCTTCTACGAGAATCGATCTATCCCGGAGGGTTTCAACCCCAATGCGACGGCTTGGCTGGTCTACGACGAAGCAAAGGAGCTTCCTCCCCCGCCTGACATCCACGATCTCGACCCGAACAACGACTTTGTCGACGATCTCGTCTTCGTGCCTGCAAATCATGAGCCCCTCCTCGACAAAGTCGACCGCCAGATCATCTTCAACACCGGCGTGACTGTACGCGACGGCCGCAGCGTGTTCACCATCAATGACCAGACATACGTTGATCAGGAGGAGCCCACAATGTACACGGCGCTGGCAGCAAGCCCAGAGAACTCTTCCGATTCGTCGATATACGGACAGGTCAACCCCTTCGTGATCCAATACGGCGAGGTAGTGGAGATAATCATCAACAACCGCCACGGCAACCTGCACCCCTGGCACTTGCACGGCCATCAGTTCCAGGTGCTGCAGCGCACGATTCCCGAGGGCGGATACTTTAACGACTACTTTGCAAACATTTCTTCGACTCCGGTGAAACGGGATACCATCATGGTCCAGAACCATGGACATGCGGTGCTCCGCTTTCGCGCGGATAACCCAGATAAGTTTCTGTTACTCCAGTGAAGATGATGCATACTGACCTGTCCTACGAGTTTGGCTCATCCACTGCCATATCGAGTGGCATGTCACCAAGGGGTTGACGGGCACCATTATTGAAGCCCCGGCGCAGATGCACGATATCTCAGTACCCTTGGACCAGCAGAAAATCTGTCCCAGCTATGGCACACCCCGGGGTGGTAACACGCCTCCAAATGATGCGCCTCCTGCAAACACCAATCCGCCCTCATCTCCTCCTGAGGATACCCCTCAGCCTGGGGGTTCAGCGGGCTCGCCTCCTGCTCAGTATACCCCTCAACCTGGGGGTTCAGGTTCAACGGGCTCTCCTCCTGCTCAGTATATCCCTCAGCCTGGGAGTAACCAAGGCCTATCTCCCCCTGCTCAGTATACTCCTCAGCCTGGGGGCTCAACGGGCTCACCTCCTGCTCAGTATATCCCTCAACCTGGGGGTTCAAAGGGCTCGCCTCCTGCTCCTCAGTATACTCCTCAGCCTTGGGGTAACTCGGGCCCATCCTCTCCTCCGCAGTATACTCCTCAACCTGGCGGCTCACCGGGCTCACCTCCTGCTCAGTATACTCCTCAGCCCTGGAGTCAACCCAGCAACGCAGCGCCACCACCGAACAACTATCCCCCAGCCTACGCACAGGGCTATCCCGCTGGCTATGTTCCTGGCCCCGTTATCATCGACTCGGAATACCATTCCGGTGGCAAGTCTAGTCATGTTGAATCTTCTGGTGTGAAAAATAGCCATGGTGGAGACCCCTTCATGGCGGACAGTGAGGACGGCGCGAGCGCCTCATAGTTCTTTTCTTGTTTATAGCTTGACTGGATTATCTTTAATATTATTCTCTGGTAGATATGCCAATAGAGTGTTCTTGGTGCCGTACCTCCGTCTACATGCTGAGCTATCACTAGTTAATACCTTGTATACAAGAGCGAATAGGAAACGTCAGTGTTAAAGTACTCTGGATAAGCGCGGTAGCATAGTAATACATTAGTAATACATTTCGAGCTCGCTACCTACGTACCAGAACCGTAGGGATTATCGAGGTGCATCCATATAGTCGAGTCTCACTAGCAGTAGAAAGACAAGGCACATAGCAGATGGACTGTTTGGGCTGTAGACCCAGATTACAGCTACAGAAGTCACCATTCAATACAGATATTCAGATTGCCAATGCTAGAGATGTATTCGTTAATATCAGGTAGAGTGCTAAAAGTGACATAGCCCGAACTTTTAAGACATCTTCGATCAGTTCTTCGTCTTCAAAGGCGAAGCCAGAACCTGCTCCAACCACTCGTAGGCCACAGGAAGACTGTTGGGATATCCCATATGTGGGAGACCCTTGTAGAATCTGCACAAGTCAGTATACTCTTGTTCTCCAGGGAAACGAGAAGAGGAGAGAATGACATACCGTCCCTCCTTGGGCGAGCCGTGCTCAAACAGCACCAGGCAATCCTCGATCGGCACAACGCCATCATCGACACCGTTCAACAGCAGCAGCCGGCAGCTGGGCTGATCGACGATGCCCGTCTCAACAAGCGAGAACTTCTTCTGCGCGCCGGCCACGAACTCCTCGACGGTCTTGTACCCGTGCTTGGTCGCCCATGCCGCCGTCAACCTATCTCGTCAGCCCTTCCTCCTCATTCTTCTAAGAAAATGGACGTACTCAAACGGATACTCGTGGTCATTGACCTTCGCCAACCACTCAGGATCAAGGTAGTAGTGACAGCCCGGACCATGCGCAATGGCCCCAAGCAGCCGGTCGCGGTGCGTATGCGCCGCCCGGATCGCATAGTACCCGCCCGCGCTCAACCCCCAGACGGCCATCTTGGCGGTATTCAGCTCCGGCCGCTGATCGAGATAGCTCAGCACGCTATCCCACAGTCTATCAGGCGAGGCCGGATCCGCCGGGTCCGCAGGCGAGTCCGCCGTGCCGGGGATCTCAGCGATAACGACCGCCCAGCCGCGCGCGAGGATCTCATGCGTGCGCTGGCTGTTGTCCGGCCGGTAGCCGTCCAGTCCCGTCATGATCAGCACGACGGGGACGGGGTTGGACTGATCAGCGCCGGCGGGGGTGCGGATGTAGATGGGGATGTGGGCGCCGTCGTTGCCGGCGCGGTAGGTGTGTGGCACGGTGACCTCGCGGATGGGTTGGGTCCAGAGCGAGGCCGCCTTCAGGTAGGCCTGTTTCTGGCGCTCGAAGGCAACACGCTTGATGGAGTTGGGCTTGGTGATGTCCACGTAGGGGAAGCGGGAGATGCGGTAGACTACCGCGGCGCGGCAGAGGAGGTTCGCGGCCTCCTCTTTATTGCCGGCTTTGAGAGCCTGCGCGGCTTTTTGCTCGAGGGCAGATGCCGTGGGGAGGAACGCCTGCGTGTATTCATCGCAGGCGGCGTCGTTGATGTTTTTCTGTCAGGTTAGCATGCTTCACAGGTATACGGAGACGACGGAAAGTACCGAGATGAGCTGGCTGAAGATGGGCTCAAAGTCCTCGATGGAGCCGTCGTGGAAGGGATAGACGGATTTCTGACACTAACGACTATCAGCTGTATTCTATGTTTCTAGGGAGAACACATACGGCAAACTTCCATCTCGATTCCCACAGGACCTTCAACGAGCCCTTGTGGGGGAAGATGGTATCGAACTTTTCTCCGAGGATCCAGCGTGGCATTTTGACTACTTGCAATGGTTAGGCTTCTGGCACCTATGAATTCATAACCGCCTATCCTGCTACTTATACTCTTTGTGGAAAGGTGGACACGCTGAGCAAACAAGGCAGATACATCCAGCCACACAGATTTCCCATTTGGGTAATCCTTGATGTGGCTGGGTGATGGGGCACGAATGCAGTAACTGGCACCGACTGAACTCGACGTGTCTAATTATAGATCAAATTCCAATACTGCATAATGTCTCGGTCTGGAATTATGCGCTGAATGCATTGCACAGGGGAATTGAGTGTCTTATCCAAAAATGGATGCGGTATGGGTTACATTCGCCGAGTCCATGACATAAGGACTCTGCAATGTTTGACTCATACATGCTGCTCTGAAAAGTCAATTCGGAGCATGCAGCATGTCAGCATGATCATGACAATCTCGATATACTCTACAGCATTGCTGTGTTCAATTCTAGAACTCATGTCTGGTTGTAGAAGACTTCGGTGTCTCCGAACGTAACCCAACACCGCGATGGATCAGCCCTTATAAAGTCAATTGACAATTTGCCACTCGCAACGGACACACAGACAGACCACTGGATGATGAAGAGGAAGAATTAGATTCGAACGAGCAGGCGTATTTAGCTCGTTGCCCTGACATAGCAAGATTATACTTTAGGTACAGTAGCACAAACGAAAGCAAACTCGTTATGCGATGAACTCGTGCGAGGATAATTCCAAATACACTCAATGTAACCATACAACACAGTCTAACAATCAGACATTTGCCCCTCCATTGACAGGGATAATCTGCCCTATTCGTTCAAATCACGAGATGATCAGCATTCCAATCCCCACCGTGACCCTTGCGTCGGCCAGAAGGAAGAGACAACTCACCGTTCACCCATTCCGCATCCGGACTCGCCAGGAATGAAACCACCTTGCCAATGTCCTCGGGCACACCGCACCGCTTCAACGGACTCCCGCTCGCCAGCGCCGTCTCGATCTCCTCCAGCGAGGAGCCCTTGTCGCACCCGGGCGCATACCGCCATGCGTTCTCCCGCCACATGTCGCTCTTAACCCCCGCCGGCGCAATCGCATTGACCGTGCACCCCTTGCGCCCAAAATCGGCCGCCAAGCACCGCGTAAACCCCTCGATTGCGGCCTTGCTGCCGGCGTACAGCGCGTGGCCCGGCACCCCCAGCCCCGCCGCAATGGAGGACATGAGGATCACCCGGCCGCCCGGCTGGATGTGGTCGTAGGCGTAGCGGGCGACGAACATCTGCGCCCGAGTGTTGAGATCAAAGACCTCGTTGAAGTCCGCGAGCGTCGTTTCCTCCAGGGGCTTGAACTTCTCCACCCCGGAGTTAGACACGACAATGTCCAGCCGGCCGAAGTGGCTGGCCACCTGCTTGATGAGCGACTCGATGTTGGGCACGCAGGTCAGGTCCGCCTTGATGGCTACCGCCTGGTTGCCGATTGCCTGGATGGCCTCGACGACCTCTTGAGCCGATTTGGCGCTGTGTCCGTAGTTGATGGCGACGGAGGCACCGCGACGGGCCAGTTCGAGGGCAATGCCGGCCCCGATGCCTCGGCCGCCGCCAGTCACTAGGGCGACCTTGCCGCTGAGAGGAAGATATGCTCCTGTGTTCACCATTTTGAAGATTGAATGGAGTGCATGTAAAGGGTGTTTGTTTAGAGTGTTTGTTTAGTTGTGTACATGGTCATTTTAGGTTGTGATCAATCTTTATATACAGACTGCTTCTATTGGCAATAAGCGCCCAATTATGATCGATATGCCAAGAGGTCTTACCGAATTCGCGCTCCATTGTTTCAGCCGAAAGGAATGTGTGCAACGAGATTGTCTAAGACAGGAATGTTACTGCTTGCGAATTTCCGCTCCCAGCTAAAATGCTTTGGGATAGGCAGAACGCCATCCGAGACACATGGCTCTGTTCGCGACGGTCTTCTCCTTGCATGATGCTGACCGTGTAGTGGTCTGATATTTATTATTGCTCATCGGCCGGACTGAGACCTAAAATTCGAGTCCTCATTACTCAAGTTGGAAAAATACCAGTTGTCAAGCAGGCAGACATACATACCCTCACATCACAATGGTCGAAAAGAAGCCCAATCTGACGATTGAATTCCAAGGTATGACGCGCCGACGAAAGATGTTTGACCTTTGCTAACCGGCCAGACTATCTCGCCCTAAAAAAAGTCCTCTTTGACTGGGCAGACAGCTATGACGCCAAGGTAAGCTCACATCCAGCGGTCTGGAGACTGGCATTCACCTAGGGTAGGATTGGGATCGACTTCGAAGCATCATCGCCCCAACTCTCACTGTCGACTACACGCAGATCGGTCTGCGGAGGTGGAGCGACATGTCTGCGGAAGACTACATGGCTATGATCACTGACATTGACTTCTTGGGTGACCCCACCATCAAGACCCAGCATCTGCTGGGCGAATCCTGGTGGGAAAAGATCTCTGATACAGAGGTCATTGGCCACCATCAGCTGCGCGCTGCCCACCAGGTCTACACGGACAGCAGCTTGCAAACTGTCAAGCTCAAGGGGCATGGCCATGCCACCAATGAGCACTACTACCGCAAGATCGACGGCGTGTGGAAGTTTGCCGGCCTGAAACCTACCGTGCGGTGGAATGAGTATCAGTTCGAGGATGTTTTTCGTGCGACGAAGTGATCAGTCTGAGTATAAATACGATTAGCAAAAGTACAATTCTATGTGAGACAAAGATTTGTCATTCGAAACCCCCTCTCAACGATGAAACTTTAGTTCCAGAATGTGCGGGAATAATCTTGCGGCATTTGGGATATAGCTCGGCCAGCGTAATTTGAGTTGGGATGAGGTCTGAACTCCGAGAGTCTGTAGTGCCCTCAATGCAACATGCAACCCTACATACATCTGGGACCACAGTTCCAGAGCGACGAGAGTAACCTGAGTGCTTGGCACTGGTTTGAGTAAGCATCGAATTGATCTAGGTGATGGCCTAATTTGGACGGTTCGCATTGTAACAGGCACACCGTGCCGGACGGAGTGATTTCGAAGTCTTTGATTGACGTAATCCTTGATCAGAGTGAGCTCAGAGATTGTCAACTGGACCTGAGCAGACAAGA